TTCTTTCTTGTGAGTTTGCAATGTTTTGTTCTTGTTCTTAAAATATTAATCAATAACATTTATCAACAAAACAACAAAATACAACAAAAAAAGGTTCAAGAACAACAATAGAAACATACAACAACAACATACAATAGCATACAACAACACAAGATATTATGTAATGTTTAAAGAACACACCTTTTTTAAACTAATCGTGGATCTGGAACAAATTATGATTTTCATCTAGTTTATGAAGCTATGAAGAAGAAGTACAAGGTGAATGAAGTTAACACAATAGCTTCATACTTCTTGTATTTTTCTTCATAGCTACACAAACCATATGTATCATAGTCATAGTATACGCTTTGTTAAGGCGGTGAAGACGAATTTGAAAAAAATGAGAACATTCACCAAATAAAAAAATGAGAACCCATTTTTAACAAGAAATTTAAACGAAATCGAAACATAAGTTTAATGAATGAACTTGAAATATGATTAAAGAGTATCATAGCGATTGATGAAGATGAATATGAAGGTTTAAGAAAGTTTAAAGATTAAAATGGATGTTAGGGTTATGTTATGAGAGAGAAAAGTGAAATATGTTAGGATTTTCATTTGAGAGAAACTGTTGTTATGTACTGAACGATAGATGCTTTTGCTTATATAGTAAAAAATATCACTTTCTATCACGGTTAAATAATTTCATTAAGAGGGCCAAGAGGGAAGAATGCATAAATAATTTCATTATATAATTTTGTTAATATCAGAACAATATCCCTTAGCAGCAAAGGAATCTTCATAATCTATGACTCTCTCCTCACTACCCTCGTCAAAATCATAGTAACAAATATTTCTAGGCCCTAAGTGTATCCCTGACAGTAGCAGATCGATGGACCTCCTCAGTTGACTGTTGGTCATGGTGTTGTACTGTGGTCACTTCAGTTGAGATATTTTTGTTAGCATTCTCAAATGGAGAACTCATGTTGATATATGTAGTTAAGAAGAATAGTTTTGAAGATGTGGAAATTCATTCTCTGATGATTTAATGTTTGCAATGATTACTTCAAATGTTTAATATTCTTGAATCACATTGTGACCACCTTGAAAAATGAAGAAAATTTTCAATCGTTATAGTTGGGAAGCGTGTTTCTCTCTTTCGAGAAGAGTAAAGTTTTTACATATAATATTACAACGGTTGCATATTAAATTTGTGATTAAATAATTTTCAATTATTTATTTATTTATGAGCTTAAATGACACACACTTTTTGTAATAGGAAAAATGGGAAAAAAAAATGTAGTTGTCAGGATTCAAACCTTCTACCACTCATTTTATCATCACGGTTGTGTCTATCATCCATGATTAAATAACTTTCAAAAAAATAAATAAGCATTAGGCGCATCCAGTTTCAGATATTACAACGGTGGAAGGCATGATCATAGTAATATTATGTTACTGAATGTGTATTTTGTAGTAGTGCATATTGACTCTCCCCGAAGCTTCCTATTCCAATGTTGAAGCAATGAAGAGGATTTTAAGTGTGATTTCTTTGATATACCTCACTTCTTTCAAGTCAGCGTTGACCACGACCGACTTCCCTCGTTACTATGATATGTCACCTTTAGGTGGACTAGAGAAGCCACAACATCTAGCATTTCCAAAAAGGATGCCACTGAAGGCACACTTACATTGAATTACCAGGAAGCTGAGGGTTACCTTTCTCTTGCATTCTTTTTAAATTGTTGAAGGCCAAGAGATCTCTGCCTCTGTATGGAATCAAATATATTTATTCGAGACCTAATTCCACAAGCGTGTTAGTGTATAGGACACTACATGAACTTTCACCGTCTATAAGGAATCCTGCTACCAGTATATCTGCGATGATGACCATTATAACTAATGGCAACTTCATGTTTGGGGCTCCATTTATCTTTTTGCGATCTAGAAATTCTAGCACCATTCAGTCTTCACTATGTGATCTAGTATCACCCGTCGCTTGAAGGAGGTATTTAGGTGATGGATCTTCGTCAAGCATTGCTTTTGTGCGAATCTCATCGATGAAAGAGAATAGAATTTGCGCCATATCGGAGAATTCAACACTGTTCTTCAGTACAATGTATGGGTTTACTTTCTCCATGTTACAGCGGTATTGATAAAGATCTAGACTGCGATCAAGAATGATTTGTTTGTGAAATTTAATAGTGGAGTTTTGAGGGAATCAAATGTTGATCCTCACATATGGCGCCACTATTTCGTGTCAGAACTAGAAATGGTGATGATTGATGATGCAGAACTCTGAAATTGATGATGTTGATCTCTGATACGGGAACACGGGGAGAACCTGCAAGGTTAGTACTTCAACGCCTAAGTTAATTCATTTTCCAAAATGAATATAGTGAAAAGTGAAGATCGGAAAGTGTCTATTAAATCTCATGTGTGCTGACTATATACGTTGGATAAGTTTGATTGGACTGGTGCACGGCTAAATCTCATTGTATTGACCCCTTGCCCGATTTTATATATATATATATATATATATATATATATATATATATATATATATATATATATATATATATATATATATATATATATATATATATATATATATATATATATATATATATATATATATATATATATATATATATATATATATATATATATAAAGACAAAACTTGATTTTTGGTGTAGCCTAATTTTTTACCGATTTTACCCTTATTTTAAAATGTATAACTTACACAATAACTTGTATTGAAAAACTACTATCATATTTCACATAACTTTTTACTAATAACTTCCATTTAAAATTAACATTAAAATAAAAAATGTATATCATTTGTAATTTTTTACGTGTGCGCATTAAAAGAGTAGACAGACGGGCACGCGAGTGTCCGTTTGGACGCTAGTATATATAAGGGGAATGGTCTTTAATTATAAGTAAAATATCTTTTTTTCCCTTAAATATATATTTGAATTTAGATTGGTCTCTTTATTTTTTATTTTTTTTTTTCAAATTGATTTTTTAACTCTTTAAAATATATCATGTTAGTTTTTTTTGTCTAGTTAGCAACACAAAAATTTAAAAATCGTTCGATAAATTTGTCGTTAATTAAACAAAAATAATTAATATAACACGTTTTAAAAAGTCAAGGAACCAATCTTAAAAAGAATTAAAACATCAATTTAAACTCAAAAATATTGATAACAGAACCAAATAAATATATTTTGTCTTGGTTATATTGTTATAGGGAAAATAAGGTTGCTCTGACATGTGAAAACAATGAATGAATCAACTTACTGAAGAAAGCGTTCCAACTTGCAGCTTAGCAATTCAGTTGAACATGTATATTCAATAATCTAGAACGAATTGGATTAAGATAACTCGAGTCTATAACATATAAAATAAATTTCCTATTGTCTGTAGCATTATCTCTTTGTTACTCTTTCCCTTCCTCTAGTCTTGAGATAAAATATATCTACGGCAACCTCTTACCTAAACCACACAGCGCCCCTTATTTTTCTGACAAAATATTCTATTATTCAAAATGAAATAACTAGTCATCTCGATATCTCCATAGTCAAATATAAGAAATAAAACTATTGCTTAGTAAAATAATATGTAGTTTGTATATTATCGTTTCCAACTAGTATTATGTTAATATTTTTATGAAAGAAGATTTATAAAAAAATGTATAGTATTTGATTTTAGATGCAACAAAAAATTAAATATATTTAACTAGTTAATATTTTATAATAAGAATTATAAGCTTTTGATGAGTATAATGAGAGTATAACGATACTCCAATTCAATGCATTTAAAAAATTTAATTTCTCTATTCTTTCACAAATATAATTTAATTATCATTTAAAATATGTTTATTTTTGTTAATTAGAAATTATTGCATATTTAATACTTTTATGATAATTAAAAACATGTTTATTAATTATTTAATAATTTTCTTATTTGCTATATATAAATATTAATTATAAATAAACAATAAAAAAATATATTTTTAATAGTTTCTATATAATTAATATATTGTAATAAAATTAACATTTATAATTATTAGTTATACAGTTCAATACATAATCTATAATCTATAACATATATAAAATTTGGTGTATTTTTTTTAATCAATTTTACTCTTATTTATATGTAACTTATACAATAACTTTCATTAAAATTACTACTATTATTAAGTTACATATAAGTAAGAGTAAAAAAAAAGTTACACCAAACATAAATTTTGTCTATATAAAACGAAGTTATATAAGAAATTAATAATAAAAAGTTATGTAAGAGATAATAGTAATAGTTTTAATAGAAGATATCATGTAAATTATATATAAATAAAGGTAAAATTAGTAAAATAACATTTATAACTATTTTATTTTATAAAAAAATAACTTATTTATATACATAACAATTTTATTGATTATTATTTAAGAAATGAGATTTAGAGTAATAAAAAATAAAAAAATAACTTATTTATATACATACAGTTTTATTCATTATTATTTTAATAAGAAAAAAATGAGATTTAAGGGTAATAAAAAAAGTGATACAATGATTGTATAAATTTCTTTTATAGTTTATAACCATACATTCTGTCAAATTATATTAAAAATTTGAAATTAATTATATAATATAACAAAATAATATATTTTATTAAATAAAAATGTAAAACATGTGTATAACAATTAAACCCACATAATAATCTTACATCGTGTCAACTTTGATGAATTAAATAAATATAAATCCTTATCAAAAGGTGACCAGACCAGTTATGATTCCGGTTCATCCGGTTTAAACCGGTTCTAATACATTTTAGAAGTCCATATTAACGTGTTATGACAAAAATTTCCATCCTGTCAAAATACCATTGGGCCATTATACGTGCCTTTCCAACCAAATTTTATTTTTTTCTTTTTCGTATTTTCTCTTTTCATCTCTCGTCAACAATAAATCAACCAAATCACGCTTCATAGAAAATCTTCATCCAAACGCAGAGAAAATGGACGCCATTGATTCCGTCTTCGATCCACTCAGAGAATTCGCTAAGGACAGTGTTAGGCTTGTCAAGCGTTGTCACAAACCCGATCGCAAAGGTATAACCCTAAATCTCTTTGTTTTCGGTTTGTTTGATTTTGAATCTATACGCTGTAGATCTTGATTTTTGTTGTGTTTTATTTTTTTGGAATTGTAGAATTCTCTAAGGTGGCTGTTCGTACTGCGATTGGATTTGTTGTGATGGGGTTCGTTGGGTTTTTCGTTAAGCTTATCTTTATCCCGATAAACAACATCATCGTTGGATCTGGTTAGCTATAATTAAATATTTCTTAATTTTTTTATTTGATCTCTAATTTTGCTGTTTCTTATGTTTTCATCTGCTTATTTCTGTACTATGATTTTATGATATTAAATTGTTAATTCTTTTTTATTTGAGTCCTTAATATGAATCAAGGAATTTTTTGAAGTGGGGACTCTCTGTTAAGTTGTTTTATGATTTTCCTGCATAATGGATTTACTTTATGATGATTAACAATGGAAAAGATAGCATGCATGTTTTCTCATTGCGCATGGTTTTCGTTTGCTGTTTTAGTTATGATCTCTAGCACCGCAAAAGGCGAGTCCGTGTCCATATACAGACACTTGTGGTTACATTTAATTTAGTTATATTTTTCAAATTATTATTGATTGAAGGTGTTTCCTGTGTGAGATTCATAGGTTAGGATTGGTTGGTGACTTTCTCTTCATTGGTTGTGGTTTAAAATCTTTCTTTGGATTCTTCTAAATTGTATTGCTTTTGGTGTTGAGTTTTTTTTGAAGGATCACAAATTCACAATAAGTCAATGAGAGAAGTGAATAATTGTTTTAAATATGCTTTTGATGTTTTTAATCTACCATTCATCATTACTTGTGAGAAACTTTTGTATGATTATTATCCGAAGTAATTTGATTTGAGGGCTTAATATGAATCAAGTAATTTCTTGAAGTTGTTTTATGATTTTCCTGCATTATGTATTTACTTTGAGAATTTTTTTTATGATGATTATCAATGGAAAAGATAGCATCCATATCTGCTTATGGTGCATGGTTTTAGTTTTCTCTTTTAGCTATGATTTGTACCTGACGCGTGTCAATGTTTGAAACCAACACAGTCATTTGTGATTAGATTTCAGTTATTCATTTTTTCAAATTATTATTTGTGTCAATGTGTCAGATTCGTTGGTGATTTTCTCTTCATTGGCTGTGGCTTAAAATGTTTCTTTTGGTGTTTAGTTTTTTGGAAGGATTACAAATTTACAATACTTCAATTTTTGCTTAGTTTAAATGGTATTGCTTTTCATAATGAATTCTGATAAATCATTGCTAGAAGTCAATGATAGAAGTGATTTCTGTTTATAAAAATCCACTTTTGTTGTTTTGCAATAACAGAAAATCCTTAATCAATACAATACACTAAGCTTTCTAGAATAATCTTTTGCTGTCATTGTAAGAACATAAAAAAAAATCATAATCTAATTGGCATGTGCAATTGATGTAAATGTATTCATGATAAATTTTACAAGCATGCTTAATGTGAGTAAGAATAATGCTGTTTCTTACAGGCACTCATCTTAGATGTAATGTATAATGTAATGTATAATGTCTCTTCAATGATCCATGCCAATTTTGTATCAGCAATTTGCGGCTGATAGAAACCTATGCCCAGGTGCCTAAGTAATGACTGCCTATTTATGTTATGTAATGAGAATTTCTGGGTTGATCAGCATAAATGTAACTTATCTCGAAAGATGTTTTTGGAATTTAAATCTTTGAAAGCTTTTCATTGATTGTCTAATTTTTATATGATGCTGTTGTTAAATGAATTGATGTAAATAACTCTCGGTTATTTCTGCAGGATGAGGGAAACTTCAATCACCTCCGGAAATCGACTTGTGAAGCAAAAAGAGGCAGAAGGAGTTTCCACTTTAATAGACATCTTAGTTATGTATTTTCAGTTTTGCTTTTTATTGAACATGTAAAATTTTATTTTACATGTGTTAGACTTTTGACCTATTGTTCAAGGAGGAAAAAGTTTAGATGAGGAATTGTACATTTGCTTTTGGTTTATTATATTAAAATATCAATTTAGTTCGTGAAATGTTTTTTTATTACATATTTTCATGAGACAATTATATGACTAAATGAATCAACTAGAAGGGTTTAAGTTTTGTTAAAATTAGATTTTAAATTGCCTAATGTGTATAATTGTAAGATTAATTGGTGTTTCTTTGGTGATGTGTGCTGTTTATTAGCCTCTGGGGCTAAATTGTGATTATGATTTGAGTTTCTATGTATTAAACCTGGTGTAAACTAAATAACTCAAAGATAGTGTTGAAATTTGATTAACGACCATCGAAGTATAATTGTTTAAACTTCACTAATATAAATTTGTAACAACTTATCAAGCTCGGTTGGAAAATTTGGGTAATCAAATATTGAGTTTACTTCCACATCTTGTTTCCATTTGTTTTATTTTTGGGTTGCTCTTCCCACTTCATATATATCACATTCCTTTATAAAGGAGTGACATTCTAATTTTATTATAAATTAGTCCAAAGATGCAAAAATGCATTTTAAGTAAAATTTGATATTTTTAAAGAAATACGTTGATAGATAGAAAAAGTATATTGATGTAATATGTTATTTATAATAAATTTATTATCAATTAAATTATACATTGATATAATAAGATTAAAATGACATACATTAAAATCAAGAATTTATAATAACTATAAAAAATTTATAATACTATCAAAATGATAAATTATAAATCATATTACTATTTGTAATACGAATACTATTGAGTATATCTGACACCATGTTCCTTCTTTGCCTCTCTTATAATGCAATGTCGTTTTTGTCTCAGATAAAATGATATTTATAATGGCTCTCTCTCTCTCTCTCTCTCTCTCTCTCTCTCTCTCGTGTGCGCAATGACCTTCATACGTAATCTTCCCCCTCATTTAATGTCTACTGATGAGCTGAGTTAGGTAGATCTCTGTGAGCATCTGAATGTGACACTCTGAAATATCGTTGGATGTAATCGAATGCACTGATCCATTGGTGAGGAGGTGTCACACTTTGTGCTTCATCTAGTACCAGATAATTATAAAAATCACCATACATCACATATACATCTATGTAGACCATAGTGGGAAGAGCTGACACAAAAGGTCTCTTGGAATAACTTAAAGATATCCAAACTGGAGTTTGACTCGCTCATGCATGTAGATACATAAGACGTGACCCACAAGGCAACCATCCAGAGTAGAAGGTTATGTCATCCAAGAGACGCGTATGATAGTTATCATCAAACGGTGTATAACACATATCATCTATTGGATTTCCGTCAAGAAACACATGAAGGGCTAGGTTTCCTGCGCAAGCACATGGTTGATCCTCAAAATAGTCATTAACATATGACTAACTGGAGATGCGTGGAAAAAGCTGGAGGATCCATGCCTACAAATGGTAAAGATGAAATATTAGTAGTAATGGTGTAACATAAGTGTTATGAAAATGGTAAAATAACAGTAAATGTGCAAATATATTACAGTAATCACTATGCAATTTGTTATCATTTATGTGGTCTTCCAAAGACAACCTTTAACTAACTTTAAGTACATGTAAACCAAACAAGTGACCTTTCACTTGCAATCATGAATCTGGTTGAAGTTAATGAAGTATCCAAGATAAACCACATCAACGTAATAAGCACTTTTGTCCATAAATATGGAAGTGTTAATCAGATACATGAGGTATAACCTTAATTCACATGCTCTATGGTGCATAACCTGTGCATTATCACCATCGCCCTCCACTGGCACAACTAGGTGGTGTATATACAACTTCTCCAGAAATGCAGATCTAGCACGACAACATCTGGTGTCTTCGAGCTCCTTTAGTGCATCCTCTAGGACACCTCTTAAATGGGTCACTGTCATCTTCAGTGCATTAGATTTGATCATTCTAAAGTGGTCTAATAATCTTCTCCTGATCAGAAGATGTAGCACGAATGACACATTATCCATTGTGATGGACATCTCACAATGCAGAAGATGAAAAATGACGTCTCTAAGTGTCATCTCTCAAGAAAAGAAGACAATATATCATGGTTAGTAACAATATAAAAAGTCATGCATAAATCTTGCAGCCTAAATAACTGCATGACATCATGAAACCTTTACTCCTCAGGTTGCTGCAACCTCGCAATCTTCCTACCATGGTGGATGTAGTTCAAAGCATTAAGGTGCTGGAAAAAAAATACATTTTCGTTAGAAATTTCGAATATTATAACACATGTTTTTCAAAGAATAAATACAAGTAAATTTTACCTCTCTGTCACAAATGTGCCTATCAGCATGGTTTGCATACAAAGGCAGTAGTGAAGTGTCATATGTGTCTCATTCAAATTTATCTAAAACAGTAATATCAAAAGCGGGTGTATCAACATGGACTATTGGGGCTTTTGGGGAAGCAACATACGACATTTGCCTCCGTGAAGACGAAGTCGGAGGCTGATGACTTCTCGACAAGTCTACCGATAATATCGCAGTAATAAAAAAGATCGAATCCACAAGGACTGCTATTTAATAAGACAAAGTTGTGCAATGCATAGAAAATAATAAATTGGGAGGGGGGGGGGGGGGTTGAGTTTGAAGTTCGAAAATAAAAATAAAGTGTTCAGACATAATTTCGAAAGCGGCCAGGTTATGTATAGAATCCCATATTCATCTATAACCCAATTCTTAAAAATGTGAGATATATAAAAATTAAAAGAAAAATTAAAAATCTTTTAGAATTTGTATTTTTGTTTCAATTTAATTAAAAGGAGTGAGAGAAAATTTTAAAAAGAAGATAATTAAAATAATAAGTGGTTCAAGTTTTAAGAGTATTTATTACAAAAATAACTGCCTCGTTTTCATATTTTTTCATTGTATTTGTTTATAATTGTAGAAATAATATTAAGCATAAATTTTTTTCTAAAGATTCTTTTATTGATTTTAATTAATAAAATAAAAAAAAAGTTGTAAGCAAGATAATTATAGGTGTTATCATTTCGTTGTAAAACTTATCACATGCAATTATATATTGTGTAATGAGGCCGCAATTATATGATATGTAGAAGAATAAGTTAGAAAAATAAATAAGCGAGAGACATATATAAAGATCGTATAAAAGAGAGTAAAACAAAATTAATATTCAAAATAAGTTTGAAAATTCAAGAATTTTTTTATAAATACAATATATTCTCATAACCCAATTCGTAAAAATAGAAAAACCTTGAAAACCCTAGAAACCATTTTGTATATATCTGGCTAGAAATTCCATTTCAATTCCCTAACCCCTTCCTCGGCTTGTTCACAATTCACAATGGTGCATTGTACAATTCAGCCTCTCACTCTTTCTAAACTTCCCGATTCCTTCGCATTTCGCCATAAACCCTCTTTTACTCCCAATCGTATACTCTCATCTCGTAAGTTCTCCAATTTTTTTCAATTAATATTCACTCTTAACCAGAAGCTAGGGTTTTGTTTTTTTATTCTCCATTTCACTGTTGTTTTACATATTAATATTGTTTAAATGCACGTCGTTTTGCTCGTGGGTAACTCAATTTGATACCTAAAATTGATTTACACCACTAAAATTGATTTTTTAGAGCATTTAGAACAAAATGGTAGGGCCTGTAGCCATGCCTCCCTGCTTATATCTTGCGGTATTGCACTCAAAACATTATTAAGCAAGTTTTCTTTTGCATAAATAGCAGCTGATATACCGTTATGCCCATCAAAAACCTGCCAATCAAGAACTCCTTATTGATATCATAACCATTGCGAGAATGAATTGATGCCCCATTTACTGCTTATAAATGCGAAGAAAAGAGAAACAGTTTGCTCCAATCCTTATATGACATCTACTAAGTCTCTATTTCGATAAACAACTTAAATAAATGCTTATAACATAAGCACTTGTATCATATAAGTGTCTATGTATAAACCATTTCTTCTTACTTCATCCTCGACATCTCACGCTTACTCATCTTACTTCACAATTCAACATGTCTAGATTCTCAGTAATGAGAAACCATATCTAATCATCCCAATCAATTCCAACCTAAAAAAACAGATACATTTTCAGCTACACTTCACCAATGTTTTTACATGATAATTACTGTAATATCAAAATTTAGATCTATTCATGAATCAATAATTCTAGAACGGATCGTGGAAGCAAAACTAATAATGTGCGTTTGAATCTAGAGAAGTAAAATTTCAAAATCGAATAACATAATCAGTGCTAGTGTTAGATGCCCAAATTTGCTTATTTGAGCTATCAGATGTGGGCTTCTTTCACTCTGTTTTGTCCAGAAAGTATTCAAAATCGCCCTTGCCTTTGTTGATTTGCAATATTTTGTGAAATTATCTTGGTACCTTTAATTTGTGTGTTAATGTGCAGAAATTAGGCATGAAAGAGTATAATTGGAAGACACAAGAAAGAGGGCAGAGGAATCAAGAAAGAAGGCAAGCAAAAGCAAGCTCGCTAGGCGAGCTCTGGCGAGAGAGGTAGCGAGTTGTTCGCTAGGCGAGCACGTAGCGAGCTGCCAGCGAACACTCCTAGACTTGGACAAAATCAAATTGATCATATTTCGCCCTAGCGAGGAAATGAGCGAGTTATTCGCTAGGCGAGCATGTAGCGAGCTGCCAGCGAACACTCCCAGACTTGGGCAGTAGCAAAAAGAGCTGATTTATCTGGAGCGAGGCAGGTAGCGAACTGCTCGCCAGACGAGCACGCAGCGAGCATGTAGCAAGTGCTTCCAGAACCTAAAAGACCCTAACTCACTGGAGCGAATGAAGCAGCGA